AAAGACCTTTGATCCAAGCCTCTTCTTCTTCAAGATTTCTTCAACAAACACCTCCCTAAGCTCCAAATGCACTCCAATCTTTCACAAACACAATTTCTAGGGTTTCTGGACTTCAAAGGGGATCAAAGAGGTTGGGGAGGGGACATATTGTTCTTTAAATAGGGCTCATTCCCCGGATTTAGGGTTTTCTCCACTCAGCACCTACTCGCCAAGTCCATCTTTGGACTCGCCGAGTAGGCCACTTGACTCGCGACCAAAGTCGCGACCCTACTCGCCGAGTCCATCCATGGACTCACCGAGTTTCCCTTCCAAAATTTACACTTTTAGTCCTTCAACTCTACTCTTGCTATTCCGGGATGTTACAGTTACCTACCTTCTACTCACTCTTTCTTTCAGTTAGCTCATTTTCATTTTGCAAGTTGTATTCGAGTTGTGTTTTCATCTGATAATTTTTTTGGGTTTTGGAATTGATAGTGAGGAAAGAAGAAGATCATAAAAATGTTGTTGCTATTGAGTATTGATGAACAAAATATTTCATAGTTCATGCCTAAATGTTTACAACAAATAATATGCATATTCAGCTTAGTTAAGTGCTTTTCATTGCTTTTTGTTGATTTGGGTTTGGTTAACATAACTGGTGCAAACATCTGGAGTTCTTCCTGGCAAAAAAGACCCAGGTACACACTCAATTCTGATTCGAGGTTTTGTATGCAATGCTGACTATAGTGAAAAATGTTGATATAATTGAAAACTAACAAGCTTCTATGTGAATTGATGCTTACTGTGGAAAATGTTAATCTAACTAACATGTAAAACTCTTTTGTATGTAGGTGGTTTTGTGTATATGGATGAACTGATGCCGACTACTCACACAGTGAAAAGTATTTAACTTTTGCTTTTGTATATATACTACTATAACTATTGAAATCATTTCCATCATTTCTTGTATGTACAACACTAAGTTCTTCTGCTAATGCACTCTTATTTCATAGGTCTATCTTTCTTCCTTGAATATGGACATGGGGATAAAGTCTCATCTAATTTGAAGCAACAAATCCAAAAGATCCTTAAGGTGGTAGAAATTATAAGTTGTATTAGTCTTTTTATTTTTTGACTTATAAACATGTTGCACTGAAACTTGATTGCAACAATGGACATTTGTAGAAAGGTTATATCTTTTATGTTATACATGTGAATATGGAGGGCCCATATGGAGAAGAATTGACTTTTTCATTAGAAGAACCAACATAAAATGATTTCATCTTCATATGTAAAGTAGAATTCACAAAATAACATATAAGAAGCTTAGTGCCTTTGGAACTAGGTAATGGACATAGATAAGAAGCTGTTGCAGTAAAAGAAGACTGCAAAGGGTGAAAAGGTAAATTTACATTTAGGTAAAATGGAAGTTGAAGATGGTAAAAATTAACATGAATGTTTTTTGTATTTTTGTTGTAATATCTTAATTGTTGAAACCTGTAATAGGAGTCTTACAAATTTGGATAGACAAATATCAAGCACTTTTGATGGATTCAAAATACTTAAATCAACAATGACATATCCTTCCCGCATATCCAACAAATAAGAAAGCTACTTTATTGGGAATAAATGATGTTTAAAGAAATAGGGTTAAACTCAATAATTAGCACTATATTTACATCTATATGTTTATTATTTTGTCTTATTTTTAGTTATTCCTATTACAAAAAATTTCATCCACTTATGGCAATGTCATCGTATAATTCTTGTTTATTTATATTTCATGAGGATAAAATAAATTTTGTGATATAAAGAAATTGAAAACTATAAATAAATATTATTTTGTCGAAACAAACAGGTACTTACTGCAACAAATTTTGTCAACATAGAGGTCCCATTGTTGATGGGGATGTTGTTGTCACATTCACCTCCCGTGCAGATCGTATGATCATACTTGTAAAAGACCTTGGATATGAAAAGTTTGATAAATTTGATAGAGTGTAGGTCCTGAAAATCCAGTATGCGGGTATTGTAACGCTCCATTTCTGGTATGTGATTTAATTAAAGTTTTCCTTTCTTGAGGGGTACTCGACGAGTCTGTAGCCCAACTCGTCGAGTAGAAGACGGGTTGATCACGCGAGTTAAGCTGGCAACACGGCGAGTCCATACCCTGGACTCGGCGAGTCCGCCTGTCTGGGAGAAGCCCTAATTTAAGGGTTTGCACCCTATTTAAACACACTTATACGCCCCAACCTCGCCTCCATCACTCTCAGAGCATCTCTTACCAAACCCTAGCCCCTTTTGAGTGTGTGAGTGATTGTTGCTTTGTGAAGGAATTTTTGGAGCAAGTAGAAGAAGGAGAAGATTGAAGAGTTCAAGGAAGAGGAAGTAGATCCAGAGCACACTCAGTTGTGGTCATCTTTTCTGGTAATAAAGCCTACATCTTGTTTATTGATCTAGTAGATCTTGGTTGTCCCCAAATTGTTAATTTAAACCCCAAAAACCCCAAACCCTTTATGATTAAGCCTTATTTTTGGGTCATACTTCAGATCTGGACCCTCATTGCGTTCTAGTAGTGTAAAGTTTCAGTTATGGTCGTGATTGAGGTCCCTCTTGAGCTTAGAACCCCATTAAGACCTTAGTTTTGGCATTTGAAGCCTTTAAAGCTATGCATGCACATAAAGTTTTGCAACTTTACGTGATAAGCATGCCCTAGAAGCATGGATCTGTGACTTAGAGCCGCTGCATGGCTCAAATCGGCCTGTATGGAAAAGGGACTGAATGGACTCGGCGAGTCATATGAAGATAGCCTTGGACTCGACGAGTTGGATAAGCAACTCGGCGAGTCCGATGAAGATTGACATACACTCGACGAGTTGTTCTACAACTCGGTGAGTCGAATGAGTTTTTCCCGAGAAAAGTAGTGTTTTAGTGAAATGGCTTCATTCCTTCGTAGTTATACGTAAAGTCAGCAACTTTATGTGTTTAGATGGTCTCAAGGACTCAGATTTACGAGTTTGAGGCCCTGGAATGGATTAGAATTCGATTGTATGGAATCTGCGATAGGACTCGACGAGTTGTTATTCGGACTCGACGAGTCGAGTCGCGAGTCCCCGTTTTCCCTTCGAGTTGTGAGTTCAGAGTGAATCAGTAAGTGGGAAAGGGGCTCGGTGAGTTAAAGTCAAAGTTAGTAAAGGAGGGACTCGGCGAGTCCGGTCAACTGGAAGTTGACTTTGACCAGGGAGTTGACTTTGACTAGGGGTAAAATAGTCATTTGACCCTGAGAGCATTACCAGTAGCTAATCTAGTGTTTTTGGAAATTGTAGTCGGACAGTTCCGGGGCAACAGTCAGCCACTTTTAGAGTTAGCATCTCAGCAACCAGCACTACGATGTGAGTTTTCCTTCCAGTAGGAACGGGTCTACGGCCACAATGTCGCCCGTCTAGTTAGCAGTAGTTCCGGACTTTGGTCCGATGCAGTAGTTCAGTGTGCTTGATGTCTTTGTGATTCAAGCATGTCTTTGTGTTATGTGTTCCGGACTTCGGTCCGATGCAATATGCAGTATATGTGTTTATGCTAGGTTATATGTTTGTGTTATGCTATGTTATGCTCAGTCAGTTTCCAGACTTCGGTCTGATGCAGGGGACAAGGTCCCAGTCAGTTTCGGATTTCGATCTGATACAGTTAGTTCCGGACTTCGATCCGATGCAGGGGACAAGGTCCCAGTCAGTTTCGGACTTCGGTCCGATGTAGTTTCCGGACATCGGTCCGATGCAAAGGGCAAGGCCCTGGTTAGTTCCAGACTTCGATCCGATGATGACATTGCACACACCACAACTTCAGCTTTTGTCCTGGGAGTTTATTTCATATACTATGATACGTTGTTACAGTTCTTTTGTTATGACACCTCTACTATAACTTTTAGGATTTATGACGTACGATTTTATGATATATTATAGGTCGTTGATAACCTTAGTATTATTTAAACGAAAAATTTTGGGTTGTATTTTGGGTATTTACACATAACCTTAGTATTATGTAAATGTACTTTTTTTATTAAACAACTTACAGAAAACAGCAACGTACTTACAATTTTTCTATTTTATAATTTAAAGCTACATGAAGATGTAAAGAAATCAAGAATCATGGGTTTTTGTGATCCGTCTCCATTGATACGAAAAAACTGCACATCAACGGTGGTAACTGATTCGAAGTAATTCCATTGTTTACATCTATAGTGTTCAGTATGATCGAATGGAATCATCCATCCCATCGGAATGACAAAAAAAAAAAAAAAATTTGTTCCTCTAATGAAATGGAATAGGTAATTCATTACGATGTACATTCCATGCCATTCAACTAAAATAAGACTTGCCATAGAAATTAGATAGATTCACATTGCTTTTGACATATTTTTGTTTTTAGTATATATTTTGTTGTAATGTTGATAAATTTCATTGTGCATATAATATGATGTTGATGGTGCTTCTTGCAGTCTTGTGTGTTTACAAATCATTTTTTCTGAAAATTCTTACAATACAGACCCTGAACTTGATTTTTCCTGCAAAGGAACCCCTTTTTATTTTTATTTTTTTGACAAACAATAGCTATTTTTAACATGTTTTATGCTTTTTTTGACATATTCCATTTTTGTTGTTTTTATAGATTATGGATTATATCTATCAGTTTTTAAAATTTTCTATTAGCAATGCAGTTTTGATCCAATTCCAACTACTGCGATTCTAACCCCAAATTTTCTATTAGCAATGCAGTTTTGATCCAATTCCAACCACTACGATTCTAACCCCCACAACATGGGAATCTTTCCTAGTTAAACCTAAAACCCGATTTACCCTTACCCGACTAACCAGCTACTTAATAAGGTCGATTTTCAGATTAACTTTTATTTTTTTTAAACCCAATCGAGTTGACCATATTAATACCCCTATCATCCTCTCTTTTCATCTCTTATATGAGGTGTAGACATCACACATCGCCAAAGATAAGGACTAAGCTTTGAAGCCATTTCACTTTTCATCTCTTTAGTGACTAAAATAAAATATACTAAAAGACCAACAATCACAAATCACCAACAAGCGAACTTTCATAAGTTACAATGTTTGGTTTCATGACTAAGAATCACAAAGCTCCCAATAAGTGTTTCTTTATTTTGTCATACTCATGTCATGAAGAAAATACAAACGAAATAAGATCTCATTTCCAATTTCTAAAGCACAAAATGGGATCTAGCTGCAGATCTTGAGCATTTCTTTCTCCCATGTTTTCCAAGCCCACAAACACAATTCTCAAGAAGTTGATAATCTTCTTCCCAAAACAACTTTGAAGCCATTTCACTATTCTCCAATAGCTTCTTTGATGTCAAGAATCCAGCAATTGTCCATGTTTGATACAACCGAGATTGTTTCCCAATAAATCTTCCATATCTTGTGTCATAATATTCTGGCCATTGATCCAATGAAAGCCGCTTTTCAGCTAAAGCAATTGCTTTTCTTGCAAGTTCTGGCCTCTTCATCTTGATGCATGCAAGCGTGAACTGAAAAAATAACAAGGAAATGAGATTGAAGATTAAATGATGTTGTTGATGTTGAGGGCATTTATGTCTTTTCGCAAGTATATGATTACCTGCCAAAGAAGAGTAGGCCATGATCCGCCGTTGTGGTATGACCAAGGACTGAAAAGAAATAGACACTTAAGTTAGTATGAAAAAAGTAGCAGGATTGGGCCAGTGGGAAGGGCATTTATGTCTTTTTTGACAAAGAAGAGATGAGTATGAGGATGAGGGCATTTACGTCTTTTGCATAGAGAGGAGTAATGCATTGTACTTTCGAAAAATAAATTTTTATTTGAAAAATCTATCCAATCAAACAATGTACTTTCACTTTTACTTTATCTAGATAAAACATTGATTATATTACAGAAATGGTCCCTATAGTTTGGTGAAAATAGCAAGTTCATCCCAATTTTGATTTTTGTTTCATAACCGGTCCCTGTGGTTTTATTTTGCTGCGGTTTTGGTCACTCTAACTAACAACGTTACAAATCAGACGATAAACACATGCCAAATGACAATTATGCCCCCATTATAGCATTGTAAAATTTTCAAATAATGTATAATCTCAAAAAATACCTTACATTTTATGTTTCTTCCGGATTTAACGTCAAGTTTTATTTTTTCCTGAGAAAAACCTTAAATTTTTTCATTTTTTTGAAAAATCCCTTAACTTTGTCTTTTTTCCAAAAATAACCCTCAACCTTCAAGCTATTTCTGAAAAACCCCTCAACTATTTTAGTTTTTTGCGCAAAAACCCTCGTAGTTTACAAGTTTTTTGGTTGGGTAATCTCAAAAAAGACGTTATATTTTGTGTTTTTCCGGATTAAACCTCAAATTATTTTTTACCTAAAAAAGACATTGTATTTTTCATTTTTTCCGAAAAAAAGCCCACAACTTTGTATTTTTCTCCAAAAAAACAACACTCAACCTTCTAAATCTTTCCAAATAAACCCTCCACTTTTTTAGTTTTTTCCAAAAAAAACCCTTATATTTTACAACTTTTTTTAGAAAAAAAAATGATTAAAAAAGTCATCAGAAAAAATGAAAAAATACGTCTTTTTAAGGCAAAAAAAATGAGATTTAATCCGCAACAAAAACACAAAATATGTGGTCTTTTTCGAGATTAACCTTTTATTGGGGGGGAATTACTAAAAGGGCCAGATAGGAAAAAAAAAATGCAAAAAGGCATATGGTTTTTTTCACGAAAAAAATAAAGTTGATGTTTAATCCGCAACAAAAACACAAAATACAAGGTCTTTTTTGAGATTAACCCCAAAATAATAGTACGATATGTTAAAATAAACAAATAAAAAAAAAAAAAAAAAAAAAAAAAAAAAACTCACGTGTTCTTAGGATCACTTCCAGTAATTATCCGCCATTCATCATAATCAAGAGCAGGGTAACAAATCTTGAGAGGCATATTTGCAACAAGATCATCCCATTTCTCTTCAATCAAATTCAAAATCCCATCATTTTGTTTCGGGGTACCCAAAGAGGAAACTATGGCCCACAAATTCCCAAGTGTGAAGAATCTAAAGTCCATATGTGCCGGCTGCAAGTTCCCAATAAGATACCCCCCGGACTCAGGTATCCAATCCACCAACCAAGACGGAATTTGTTCAGGATAAATATTGAATTTATTAATTGCATCCGTGGAATATTCCTCCGTTTTATAACGATAAATTTCATTTATCTTTTTCATATCAACCCAATAATATTCACGTATGTGGAACGAGAGTGCACTTAATCGGTTGTTGATGGCTGCTGCTAGACCTTCCGTTGACTCGTTGACTTTCACCATTTCCCTTGAGCAGCGTAGTGCTGAGTAGAATAGTGCCTAAAAAGAAATTTAATCATATTGGTTAAGTTTGTTAAAATTGAATTAATTAATTAATTAATAGAAATAGCAAAGTTACTTGAATTTCAAGAGGATGACCATGAATGCCCATTCTTCTATCTATCATGCAAGATCCATCAGTTACAAGAAGAGTAGGAAACATGTCAAATCCATCAGATAAACACAATTTGAGTATTAATCTTATTCCTGTTTGAACATCTACTCTTTCTTGTAAACTGTAGTCACCTGTGATCTTTCCATAAGCTCTCAATAAAATAATCCACCACAAACCTGATATAAACATGTCAAAACTCGATTACAATGTTGTAGCAAAAAAAGAGATGTTAAAATACTAAATTAACAAATGGTTTACATGCACTTTTATCACGTTTTTAACATTATATGAAACAATGAAGTTTTTATGAAACAATGAAGTTTTTATGCGTAAAATGTAATCATGTTTCAAGTTGTTACATTAATTGCATATTGAGTAAATTACACGAATGGTCCCCAATGGTTTAAGATAATTTGCACGTTTGGTCTCTAACTTATTTTTTTAACTCGGAAGGTCCATACTGTTTGTTTTTGTTACGTGTTTGGTCCTTGTCTTACCTAAAAATACTATTTTTCCCTTGATTTTTTTAATTTATTTAAATAAACACACCCCAACCCCACCCTACTCACCTTACTTCACCTATCCCGATATTTTTCCCTCTTTAAATAAGTCTTTTTAGGTTAGACAGGGACCAAATGTGTAACAAAAACAAACAGTAAGGACCAAGCGCGTAACAAAAACAAATAGTATGGACCTTCCGAGTTAAAAAAATAAGTTAGGGACCAAATGCGCAAATTACCCCAAACCATAGGGACCATTCGTGTAATTTACTCTTGCGTATTTATGTAACCTTGTTTTTACCATTATATGAAACCATGAATTATGCAAATCATGTTTCAAGTTGTTACAACAAAAGTCACTAATTTATGCACAACCTCATTTCACCTTTTTTATGAATATATGCAAGATAATAGTTTTCAACACAAACTTTGCAATCATGTTTATTGATGTTGCTATAGTTTCACCAATTTATGCATAAAGGAAAGGATTGGATGCATATAAATGCAACCATATTTCAGTTTTCTTTACCAATATTATGTAATAAAATAGTTTTTAATACGAGTTATGCAAATTCATGTCTTAAGTTGTTGCAATGAATTCACCAATTTATGTATAAATCAAAGAGTTATATATGTACAATGATGCAACCATACTTAACCTTTTTTTACCAATATGCAACATAATGAATTTCAACACAAATTTTACAACCATGTTTTATGAAGTTAGTATAAAAATCACCAATTTATTGTATAAATATAAGGATTAATGCGTCTTAATGCAACCATGTTTCACTTTTTTAGCAATGTATGCAACAAAAGGGTTAGGGACACAATTCATGCAAGATTCACGTTTCAAGTTGTTATTATGAAATATGAATTCACTAATTTAAGCTTACATAAACTGATAAAAAGCCAAGTTTATGTCTTTATTGCATGAACTGGTTAAATCAGAAACATTGTTGCATAAATAAGTAAGAAGTCCATTTTTGTTGCATATATTGGTAAAAGAAAATGAAATGCAGTAAAGCCAATAAGAACTATGCAATCAAAACCTTAGATAAAATTATTCCAAATTCATAGTTTAAGCAAATGATCTTATGATGTAGTAAGTATAAACTTACCAGAATCAACAGGTGCAACACGACCTATTGCTGATTCACCAAAATCAGGATCCAAAACATCCTCAAATTCACCAGATTTTCCATCAAGAGCCACACTTCTAACTTTAAAACTTGCTGGCATCAACCCTTGACCAGGGCTATGGCAGTCAACTGTCTTTTCCCAACTCTGGCAACAAAAGAACAGAAAAAAAAACTCAATGATGCTTCAACTACAAAATCATGTTTTGAAATTATGTGTGTTTTTAAAGAGTAAGAAACAAGATCAGTGAATACCTGCAATTGGAGAGTATGGAGCAGAAAGTTCTTGACAATCTCTCCTTCTCCATTGAGCAAGAATGCAAGAGCAGAAGGAACAAAATCACGAATGAAAACTTGATCATAGTTCAATGGCAGTTTATCAGCTGGATCAGTTGCAGCAACAGTTCCAATTGGAGTTCCACAGTAATTCACAATTGATCCTCTAAGCAACTTCCATGCTTCTTTCTCAATCTCAGATTCCTTTCTCTCATCCCCTAAAACAGTATCAAGAGATTCTTTATTTACACTTGAATGATTATAATCCAACACTTTCTCTTCATTTTCATCTTTTCTTTCCACCTCCTCAATCACTAGAGGCTTCACATTCAATCTCCCTTTAATGTAAATCCTTTCCCAGCTTGTGTCATTAACCTGGGATTCAATTGAGGTTGAATGATTTCTATAATCCGAGGCTACTTTAGATACAAGCCTGCTGAATCTCCTATCGATTCCTCCAACTGGACAACCATTCAATAAAACCCTAGGCTGTCTTCCCCAATTCAAAGCAGAACCACAAAAACCCTTCTGATTTGAATCGCTTACGTCTCTAAAACCTAAGTTTGGATCAATCGCACCTTCTCTAAACCCTAGAACTTTACTCTTACAAGTATGACTTCCCCTTGAACCAAGTAACTTAAATCGAGATTTCGGCAAATTAATCACAGCTGAGTGATTAGAAATAGGGATTTGAAAACCAAAAAGCGAAGATCTTTTATATGTAATTAAGATCCTACGGCAAAATGGTTTCGATGAGGATAGTCCAATACAACTGCAGCTACCCATTTCCACTATTGAAGGAATTGTTAATCTATTGTATGTATCTTTTGAAATGAAAAACGGTTTTCTTGAAAAATACAATCGAAATCTGGTAATTTACTTATTAGATCTATAAGTAACCCTAAATCTGTTGAACTCGGAAAAAGATTGAATCAACAGTGGTTATTATCAGATATGAAATGATTTTTATATATACACAGAATCAAACAAATATATATAATATGTTAAGAGATTATCCGGACAAAAGAGGAAATTACGAACTTTGACTAAAAAACTTACACGGTTGATGGTGATGCAGATAAGTGCGTGTTTATGTGTGTTTTTTTGGTTTTGATTGGACGAGATGCCTTTGCTCAAAACCGCTATATGGGGTATATATAGGCGGAGAAAGAAGGAGGTTGGGGATACTGTGATGACACGACATTGGATAGATGTGAATTTACGACGGAACCCTCGCACGTGTTTATAGGTTCTATTGTCTTTTTCAAGTTTTGTTTTTTTTTTTTTTTTTTTTTTATTATTATTGCTATTGTTGTTAGACAAGATTACGTTGTCACCTTTATGTTCTACCCTCTTTTTCTAAGTGGATGTTTCAAGTTTTGTTTTATTGTTTTCTATTACTAAAGGGTGTTTGGGAAATTGATACATTGTAGTCAAGGTTTTCTATTACTAAAGGGTTTTTTTTGGCAAAGTGATACATTGTAGTCAAGGTGTAGAAAACATTTGATGGTAGCAAGTTGGTCGATTGAGGTTAAGTGATTTATGGATATAGATGGAGATTAATCAGAAACCTTTAATTGTAAATTTGTTATATTTTAAAGAATTAAATATGACAACTATTATAACAAAGTTATAAATACCATTAATATCATCATAAATTTCGTTAATATGATTAATACAAATAGTTTATATTAAGATAAAACTTCTTCAAATTATTAAAAATTCATTGGCTTTACAACTTCACTTCACTCTTTGTCTAGGCAGGACTTTTAGAATCCTCTGGTGCTTTTACCATGTATCAGGCCTCAAGATAAACTTATCGGCACTAGACATGTATTTATCAAAAAATTGGAAGTTGGTTCATAGATAAGTTCCTTAATTACTTGGGTGTTCCAATGGTAGCAAACATATCTTTATCAAAAAATTAGAAATCGGTTTATATGATAAGTTCCTAGCCTGAGTTTCCATTTGGAAGGTTAAGTCTCAATCCTTTGGAGGTAGGATAACCCTCGTTAATTCGGTACTTGATTGTCTTTCCATTATTATTTATCTTTTAAAATTAAAGCAATTTGTGATCTTGAGAAATCTAGATGTACATTTTATGGGGTGGCAACCTATTAAACTCTAAAATTCGTTGGGTTGTTTGGGATAAAGTCTTAACTCCAATGACATACCAGAATGTCGAAATTTTTTTTGTTTGTACAAGTATTTTCATGCACAATCAATGTAAGACAATTAAGCTCTAATATTATTGATAGGTTTCTTAGGTTATAAAATTCATGTACAATGTAGAAAATTACACTTAACAATTAATGGTAAATGCAACTTATTAATGATATATGTCTTCACATTAAGGTCTCGTTTAATAGTTTTCAACTGAGAAAGTGTTGATTAGGAAATGTCTATCTAGGTAAGAAATTTTGACTGAATAAAAAAAATCGTTGTTTCATTGTACATCTATGTGTTGACTAATAAAAAATGATTATTTTACCATGTTGTTTGATTGTACATCTCAGTAATAAAATAGCAACAATAATGTTCTTTTTATTTACAATATAAACAGTGCTTCTCATTACATATGGTAATTAAGAAGGACATACGAGTTCTATGTCAAATGAGAATATAAGCATAAAAAAACGAGTTACCCATATCCTTAATCGATAAAAATGGATTTTGGGTCTAGATATCATGAATCTGCATACTATTGGAACAAATCATATCTTCATAAACTGATGTTAGAACAAATCTGATGTTAGAGCAAATCAATTCTTATCCAGATTTAACAATGTCATAATGCAAACAATTCTTGCCTATATTTAACAATTAGAAAAAAAAAATGTGGATGAAAGAGGAGAATATAAAAAAAAAAAAAATTGGAAAAATCTTCATTAACAAAAAAATGTCAATGGAGCAGAAAAATCAGAACAAAAAAATGTAAGTGAAAGAGGAGAATATCAGCGTACCTGATAAGTGATGAGAAGAGAGGTGTCGATCGGTGGGGGCAGGCTCAAATCTTCAATTTCAACGGATCTTCGTTGTCACTGAAAGAGGAGGATAATGTATCTTTTTGGAGGCGCTAAAAAGGAACGGTGGGGCAAGGGCAGATTAGGAAAAGCTTCTTATTTAGCGATTGTTCTCAAATTTCTTTCACCGAGTCAGCCATCCAAATTCAGTTTGACAAACAACCTCAGCTGATTGAGTCAGCCAAATACGTCTGACCCGAATCGGTCATACATATATCAAACATCTCCTAAGGCAATATACTATGAACTACAAACCATAGATGAAACTTACTATTATCGATATTTATAGGTTAGGATTACATACCTTTAGAATTATTATAGTAAATAATTCCTTCCTTTTTGTAGACCTTTAGAAAGCTAGCATCAAACGGATGATGTCTCTAATGGCTCACACTCAAAGTTAGAAACTAAAATAAGAGATGATAGAAGAGAGGGGAACAAATTTTCGGCTGGAATATCTCTAAGAAGAGTGGATGAAATTTGCAAGCCAAATACTCCTTTATATAACTGCTAAGAAAACCCATAAATTCCAAATCTGAACATAAAATAATATTATTTCAAATCTTTGTAATTATACGTTTTTCTTTAACTAAATGGAGCATTCTAGATTGCTTTGGAAGTCACTTTAAAACCATCCATAGCAGGAGGTTTCTAGAACCTCCATATTGCTCAACTATTAAGCAATTACCAAGCAACTCTTACACTTCTAATTAATTTCAAATGGCCCCAAATTAATTCTGATAAATTACTATCTAATTTAATATATTTCTAATTAATTTATTAATCATATAATAAACTAATAAATTATTTCCTCTCTCTACAAATGTTATTCTAATCAGTTTCTAGTTCTGAGGCAACCCAAAAAGGATTTTGCTTTTAATTACAAGTTTATACCAATTTAGCTATGAGCTTAGACACCTTAATCCAACAATATCCACTTGGATAAGTCTATAACTACAAGTGCGAGTATAACCCTTGAACTAAACAACAAAGAGTGCTTTCTAAAGCCACTGCCGAACTCTGATTTAAATCAAACATTGACCCTTAGATAAGTGATCAACTACTCCTTTGTTCTTAAAAATATCATATAGACACGAGACATGAATTATAATCAATCTCATCGTCCAATATTTGTTTCCTAATTTATGATTTATGATGACGTCATCATACTATCTATTGAACACATCAATCTAGTCTCGGCTGGGCCCAACACTATATTGTCAACATCAAATCATCGAGGGGCTCAAAGATATCGCTTTTCCTGTTAGGAAAAAAGGAACAAATTATTTTGACTATATAGTCATACACTTTACTTACCAAATCATGCATGTAATTACTCTTTATAACATCCAATTACGAGATGCGTTTGGGTAAGCCAATGTACAACAGATTCGTAAACTATGAACTATATATCTCCAATTTAAGAATAGTAGATATTATCGTCTTAGAATTACTCGTGATCGTTTTTTAATCATCATTTTTCTTTGTTTTTTGCTAACGAAGTGATATTAATGACACACAATTTTGAGCAATCAACACATTCTTCTTTCTCAATTTCACGTATATCATATGAATCATCTTTGATATCAGCAAAATTTTCTTGAGTACTTTGTTTTGAATTCTCAGCTTTGTTTAAAATTTTTATTAATTCGTTTTTCAGCAAGGTATCATTCACAATATCAACTAAATCATAAGAATCCAAGCAATCATTAATATTAACAACACCATAAACATAAGAATCATTAAGAACTTTGTTATATTGGGTAATTTACTCTCACGGTCAAAAGTAGTTAATCAACTAATCCATGTTTGAAATTTATGAAAGGGAGTAACTTCCTATGATGTTCCTTTCATTTTTCAAATGAATGATAAAGACCAATTAACTTCTCATACAGTCGTTTAGCCGTGTTATAATAAATATTTTGTTGCTTAACTAACATGTTATTGTCCATTTGCAACAAATCCCTATCTACCATGACATTTGTGATTTTTAACTCTAGGTCTTCTATGCTAGTGTTCTTTTCATCCAATTTATTTTCTTGCTTCATAAAGCATGGTCTTAGTTTTCTCCGCTTCGCTACTCATAGAAATCAACATATCATTCAGGCAAGAGCGTGTATCATCAAAATAAGATAAAATAGCATAGTAAGATTTTAATGGAACATTAAGAGAAACAAGAAGATCATGTACCTTCTCGGTCATTGGATACTTTGAAGCAGTGGTTACAAAGCATCTTCCAACCATTATCTCTTCCTCCTCTTCACTCTCTTCTTATTTCTCTTCTCCAGTCTCATTCTTTGGCTCTTCCTAATCACTACCAACTAACTCTTCACCAACCATGCTCTTATTTCCTAAATAACCTCCAACATGCTTTGCGAACATGCTACCATGAGTAGGGTGACGCATTTCTTTGGCATCAAGGCCTGAAAACCAGATTTTATTGGTTCCATCATTTTTATCTGCATCCTTCACAACCAAGGATAGATTCATGGATTTTGAACGAAATTACTCTATCTTCATCTCATAGTATGCCTCATCTTTCACTTTCTCTTTTTTCTCTTCCTGCTTCCTTAGCATGCAGTCCTATGCAAGATGATTATGCCTGTTATAATATTTGCAATTGTAACCGGAATCACCTTTCAGCTTTTTCTTAATATTTTTATCTTCTTCTTTCTTCTCCAGCTTCTCCACACTCTTTTGTATAACACTAGAGTTCGACAATCACTTTTTCATCAAGTTGTTTTTGAAGTTTCCACTAATAGGTTTTTGTAAAATTCTTGACCTTATTGTTGGAGTAATAAGAAATAGCTTCGTTATCTAAGTTAAATAGAAAACCTTCTTCATTTTCCTAAACTTCGTCATCAGGTCCATTCTCCTTTCCAGTTGTTTTTAAAACAAGTGTCACTGTACCACCAAAATTCATTTTACTATTCTATTTAGTCATCTCCTTCACTTAAGGCTCGTGTGCTTTCAATATATTGTAGAGATTCAACAGAGAGTAGGTGTTGAAATTCTATTGAGTCTTTATCATAAGGCAAATGTTCTTTAATTTTTTCTTCAAGCTTAGTATGAAGGTTGAACTCAAGTGTGGTACGAAA